AGTTCACGTACTTACACATCCTTACTTCTGCCCCCGTTTCATATAAGGGCCCTGCCTTCAGATTATAGACAAACACTGAGGAAATTTTTCACCAATGTATATTACTTTACCACTCAGTATTTGATGTCTTAATGTGAACTGATTCCAATGAAAACCAATTTTGAAGAGGTTCACAAAATTCCATGGTGTGTCCTGTGGCATTCCACTGGCACACGCAGGGCTTGATGCGGCAGCCAGGGCACTATCACATACCTTTGGCCCTCCAGATTATCAGAGACTTCACTAACATGACCCATGGCAATGGATTTTGAGAAATGAAGTCCAAAACCTTTGTAAGGCCAATATCTCCATTGCGGACATATATGAAAACCAATTTTTTAAAAAAGCCAAAGAATCTGCAAGGGAGGGAGCACTGAGAAAGATTAGTAGGATTACGAAAGAAGGTTTTTATTTAAAGCCATAAAACCTAATTATCTTGGTAACAGAACTTGAAGTATCCTTTTTTCAGTGCTAGACTCATACAGAGCATAATGAATATATAAAATTCAGTATCACAATCATCAGTGGCCCCTTGTCTGACCAGGACTGTATTTTGGTTCGCCATTTTAAAGTGAACCCCCTTGCAGATGATAACTAGTTTTATGGCCTTTTCATTTAAAGAAGCTGAGACAAATACACAGGGAAGAGCTATATCAGAGTTAATTAGCTGAAATGCCTAGAAGATTAACATCCAGCACTGATGGGCCATCATGACACGTCTTGTTTTTAAGCTTCTGGAAACATGTCTTTGGCTGCACTGTGGATAGTATATTGTTCTAATCTATTCAGTGACATTCTATTTTGGTTAAATTGGTCTAATTTAATATGAACATGTTGTCTGATTTTCTCTAGATTCAAAGAAAAGTATCTAGAGCATGAGGTTCCTTTAAAAGGAATTCTGCTTTAAAGGATGCACTTGAAAAATACGTCTTTACCTATGTTTGTCTTCTGTGAACATTTTAGCACAGAAAATGACAAAGTTGTGTAATGTTCATAGACAACTTGAATAAACACGGAAAAGTTACAATATCATCAGTGGTGTATAAATAATATCACTTGTGTGTGTGTGTGTGTGTTTAAATATACTGTAGTATCTTATCTCTTTAAAAATGAGACAAACAAATGTGTGTTGCATGGAGTAGTTCCCTATGTCAATCATGTCAGCAATTTATACTAACAACTTGTTCTCAAGATGCTGCTTTTAAACAGTTTCCAGAAACAAACTGGATACACTGACAGAATATACACTGTAATGAGGACCTACATTGTTTGGAGTCTAAAACATCACGTTTAATTCTTCAGCTCTGCTTACTTAGATGCACCCAAACCTAAAACAGGAGGAGGAATTAAAGAACCTTGTAATGAGGGTGAAAGAGGAGAGTGCAAAAAACGGCCTGAAACTCAACATCAAAAAACCTAAGATCATGGCCACTGGTCCCATCACCTCCTGGGAAATAGAAGGGGAAGATATGGAGGCAGTGGCAGATTTTACTTTCTTGGGCTCCATGATCACTGCAGATGGAGACAGTAGCCATGAAATTAACAGATGCCTGCTTCTTGGGAGGAAAGCGATGACAAACCTCGACAGCATCTTAAAAAGCAGACATCACCTTGCCAACAAAAGTCCGAATAGTCAAAGCTATGGTTTTTCCTGTCGTGATGTATGGAAGTGAGAGCTGCACCATAAAGAAAGCAGACCTCTGAAGAATTGATGCCTTTGAATTGTGGTGCTGGAGGAGACTCTTGAGAGTTCCCTGGACTGCAAGGAGAACAAACCTATCAATTCTAAAGGAAATCAACCCCGAGTGCTCACTGGAAAGACAGATCCTGAAGCTAAGGCTCCAGTACTTTGGCCATCTCATAAGAAGAGAAGACTCCTTGGAAAAGACTTTGATGTTGGGAAAGTGTGAAGGCAAGAGGAGAAGGGGACGACCGAGGATGAGATGGTTGGACAGTGTCATCGAAGCAACCAACATGAATTTAACACAACTCCGGGAGGCAGTGGAAGATAGGAGGGCCTGGCGTGCTCTGGTCCATGGGGTCACGAAGAGTCGGACAGGACTAAACGACTAAATGATGACGATGAAAACCAAAACCAAACAAACATTATTTTACTATATAAACCAAGCTTTTCAGCAGCTCTGTTACATTTTGGACAAAATGAAAAATGATACCTGAAGTATCATGTTTTTTAAAAAAAAAAAAATTATAAATGTGGAATGGTAAACTAAAACACTATGATAACATTTTACTTTAATTATTAGTAACTCAATATATAAAATATTATAATAATAACTGTATAGCCATGAACATGTTTCAGTGACTCTATCCAGATAGGTAGGTGTTTATAGGATTACAGCCCAATGGACACCATCTGCTTCCACAGCAGCATGGCTGAAATCTATGGGCTACTGCAGAGTAACTGTTTTGAGACCTTCATTGTTTCATAGTATATTAAAAACTAATAAAGCTCCAGTTGTTAGAGTAAGTACTTTAAAGTCTTCTTAAACACTCCTATATAGAGAAGCAAGTCCTAGTGATATAAATGCAGTTTTCTTCCAAGTTATATTTGCGCATATTCTAATCTTGACTTCAGGGGAGTTGGTTTCTAAATCAGCTTAAATTATATAGGTTTTGGATGTTCGTGCTGATTACCTGAAATTTGGGTTGTCTTTGACACTGGTAAAAATTCATATTTTTGATAAGCCATTAATTATGGGATAACCATGGTAAAAGTGAGGATTTGTACCCTGAAGCTAAGTCCCGATTTAAAAATAACAGATGGCTTTACTTACAAATCTGTTCTAGTCTATAATAAAGTATTATATGCACTGCTCAACAGACACATAGGATATCCTGATATTAAGACCGATACCAGTATTATAACTCAGGAAAAAAATCCACAAGTTCATAAATTTAAAGAAAAATGTCAGTTAAAATGTTCCCTTTTTATGGAGGCCATTGCAAATCAACTTCTCTAGAATGGAGAAGGCACATTTATTTCACTCTAAATGTTTTAAGATCCAATTAGAATGCTTCTTACTTTGAATTTAACATAGTCACAGTAGCTTAATCAGTTTGAAAACCCAGTTGTAAATCTGATTTTTTAAAATAAAAAGACCTGTCTGAAGAATCCATCACTTAAAAAGCTACACATCCAAAAAGGTTTAAGGAAACCATTCTCAGATAAAGGACTTTCTGCTGGCACATTTTTCTGCCTCACTAGCCTTTAGCTTAAAAGATTACTGACATGGTTACCAGGAGGCTGTTAAAGTTTTTACCTTGTAAGTTGAAAGAAAAATGTTATGGTCAGAAGAAGCAATGCTAGAAACAGACCAACTAAGGAAATAATTTTAAAAAATTCCCAGTGAGGTTTCTTTAAAAAAGAATTATTTACAGCCTTTCCGGTGCCTCCATTAAAGAACAAGAACAACAAAATAGAACATTGGAACGAGTGAGCCTTTATAACTGTTTTTCCAACACCTGGCCAAAATTTCTTACAGATTCCAGAAGTATCCCAGAACAATATAAGTATCCTAAATTTCTACCTGGCCAGAGAAAAGTATGGAGAGTATGAGGACAGTGCTCTCAACTTGGAGGTTTATTTTACACCTTCATTTCCAGAGAGTGCAGACACATCCCTGCCTCCCACTTAGAACCGATCAGGTCTTTAGCAATCCATTTAGAACGTTATTACTTGTCTAGGCAACACTCCTGTCTATCATCAACAATGCATTCCTAATGTGCTGAACAGATAATTCCCTTTCATTTTCTTAGGTTTTTAACAGAAGGAACATCAAGTACACATTCTGCTAGAATCTGTTAGTTACAACTCTGTGACTTACCACAAGTTTTTTTTTAAAAGCTAAACGAACTGAATAGCCTGTGATTATATTCTGGTCATTGGCATGCATATCAGATCATTCTCAGTGCAACAGGCATCGCATGCTGATTTCTTTCACAAATCTATGTTCTTCCACAACTGATATTCTTTTCCAAGGTCAGGGATGCAGAGTATTCACTGCAGATGCTACTGTCTTACTTTGATATTCCATGATTTTATCTCTGTGGGTTTTCAACTTAGGTACCATTTCATAAACGCTATGGTATGTTTATGAAACATAAAAGCGTTATGGGCTTTTATGCAAATGAGCACATAGCTATACCTTGTGATGATAACTAATGCTCTTGGAAGCGGCCCAACACTGTTTTCCAGGTTTCACACTTAGCCAAACATTCTTCTGACCCTACCAAAGCTAACTATGGGATTTTGGTGGAACTTGGGTTTGTGCTGTTTTCAATACAGAATTCTTCCATGCTACAATGGGGAGAAGGTCCATTTATTTCTTCAGTACTTTATGGCAAGAGATTGCCAACCATTTTTGAAAAAATTGTCTTTTGCATGAAATCTGTTGGATGTGAAACAGATGACTCTTTCAGAAACCTTATACACAACAAAGAAAAAACATTACTGCCCAAAGCAAGCTCTTATATTCCGTGCAACTGCATCTCAATTTAGTCACTGAAAACTCAGACCTCCTTCTCTGTTCTCTCATCACCAGCCACTTGGGTATATGAATTGCCAGAGTAAATAAAAGGCACAACTAATTCAATGTATTTCCTTCTAACTCAGGGGAAAGGGCCTGCCTAATTAACTATAATGAGATTAAATGGACGTGTTATTAATTTCCCAGTATGGTGAAGACTCTGAAGCTACAATATTTCTGGGTTGGTTTTTTTTTTTAAATAAACACAAGCAATTTCAATTTAGAATAAAATTGACAAAATACAGTAGTGTCGACGAATGGCAGAGTACATATTTAAATCAAAGTAAGGTATGCTCAGAGTATCCAAATTAAAGATATATTTGAAATACTAAGTGACCAGAAGTAGACAGAAATGAAAATGCAAAGGGGAGAGCACAATTTATAAGCTAAAATAAATAATGTAATTTACCATACCTGTACTTTGTTCCATTACTTCCTTCTGACACATGTCCTGAACGTTCACAGTGCAATTCACAATAAATTCAGGTGATGAACAGTCATTATTTAGCTGAAATTCCTCACACTGGTAACACTGTATTTGCAAAGCAAATCCTAGGATACAAAGATAGGAGCATGTATCAATTATAAAATGTCTTTAGATTCAGCAGTTCTGTATACAATGGGATACCCCAGTATGGTGTAGTGATATCCCAGGACTTGGGTATGAATCCGTGCTTAGCCATAAAAACTCACTGGGGGAGCCCTACTGGGGTCACCTATGAGTCAGTTTCAACTAGACATCCCATAAGAATAAAAATTGTCATCATCTTAGAATTACAGAGATGGAAGGAACCCCATGGGCCATCAAGTACAAGGCGGCACAGTGGGGAATCGATCTCCCAACCTCTCTCAAACCACTGAGCTAGCTAGCAGTTCTGGATGCTCACAAGGGAATAATTTATAGAATCAAATAAATAGTGAAGCTGCAAGGGGCCTCTAAGGCCATCAAATCCGACCCCCTGCTCCCCAATGAAGGAATACAAATCAAATTTTTACTAGACCTGTGAGTAAACAAGTATAATGTTGTGGCATAGGAAGTGCTCAGAAAGCAAGTGCCCAAAGGTTTAGGGCTGTGCTCCTTTTAGAGCTTCTTTTTCTTCTTTAATACAGTTGTTTCTTTGGTATTCTTATTGATAACATTGATACAATGCAATTCTGCATTTGGCTGTAGTCCTCTAGCCCCATTTAGGCCATGGCATTTAGCAACAGGGCTGAAGCACAGAAGAGCAGAACGCTAAACACTGGAAATTCTCTCTGCCCTTTTTTTTTCCCTTCCAAGTTTTCAAACCCTGGGGCTGCATCAGACAAAGCTGCAACCAGCAGGGGGCAGAACGAACAATAATGAACGGTATCAAAATTGATCTGTTTTGCTCACCAACTGGCACCCCTCTCTCTTTTCCTTCTTTAAGAGCCCCATCAGCAAGTAGAAGGCTTTTTATTTAAAAAAAAAAGAAAAGAAAAAAGGCCAAATGATGTTCGGGGAGAACGTGATGCTTCTAATAGATGCACTCCAGAGCCTTTTCTGTGCCACAGGGTTTACTTAACTCCTAATTAATTGCAAATGGTTTAATTACTATTTTGCCATGCACAATTACGGCGGCAAAGCATCCTCCAAGCTCCTCTCTCTGTTATCATGTGAACGAGGTCCTGATCGAAGTTAAAGGGAAGGCCCGGGAGCTTTACCCCACTGACCGGGCTTGGGCGATGGATGCGTGGAGGCGTCTGGTGGCGGCAGGGCGAGATGGACCGAAGGGCAGGGCGGCCGGGCGGCCCCTACGACCCCCTCTTCATCTCGGCCCGAGGGCACGTGGGGGGGGGGAGCGCGGGGCTTGCACGAGGGCAAGGTTTGCGAAGGAACGGCTCGCGTGGCCAACCCGCCTTCACGCCAGTTAGGCTCGGCTAACAGGGCATCGGGCGGAGGTCGCGGGGGATGGGGTCTGCCAGTCAACCCCACCAGCGGCTGCTCCCGAGCCGTCGCCGTTACTCAGCCGAGTTTCTCCCCCTAATCCAATACACCAGGGTGCGCTTTGAAGGCGGCCGCATCCTGTCTACTAGTGCGCTCGCAGAGAATCAATAATCTTTACAGGTAGCTGGGAAAGGAATTGGCGATGGAGGCTTGAAGAGAAAGAACAAGAAACCAGGGCTTTTGAGCAGTGGCCCCTCGACTTTGGAACCGTCTCTCCCCCAAAGATATGTCTGGCTCCCTCGCTGATTGTTTTTAAGAGTCAACTGAAGAACTGGCTCTTTAGGCAGGCCTCCCCTCCCGTCAATACTTGGTTTATTGATATCCTTATGGTTTAAATGTTGTTGTTGTTTATTTTATTAATCTTCAATGTTTTTAGCCACCCAGAGTAGACTTCGGTCTAGATGGCAGGATATAAAAGAAAGAAATATTCTGCCCAATTGGGTATCATCTGCAACTTTGACAAGTTTGACGATCTATCCAGCCCACACCTAGTTAGCTTGCCATACAGGATCTCTTGGGACACTTGGTCAAATGTTTTTCTGAAGTCAAGATATACAGAAAAACATATCCCTGGCTCAGCAATGCTATAAACAAAAAAGATCATGGAATTGTCATAGATCACAAAATGAATATTAGCCAGCAGTGTGATGCGGCTACAAAAAAGACAAACACTATTTTAGGAGGGGTTAACTGGAAGAGAGTCTCCAAATCCCACAAGGTCCTGGTTCCCCTCTATTCAACATTGGTTAGGTCACATCTAGAGTACTGTGTCCTGTTCTGGACCCCGCACCTCAAGAAGGATACTAACAAATTGCAGCAAGTTCAGAGGAGGCCAAGAGCGTTCCATCAATGGAGGCATTCAAGCGAACTTAAGAACATAGGTAGAGCCCTGCTGGATCAGGCCAAGAGCCCATCTAGTCCAGCTTCCTGTATCTCACAGTGGCCCCAACAGAAGCCTCTGGGAGCACATGAGACAACGTGATCCCTGTCTCCTGATCCCAATCTCTTGCATCTGGCCTTTGCAGGGACTTTCCTTTTAAGCCTGGAGATTGTACATCCCCATCATGACTTGTCCTCCAGGAATCTGTCCAATCTCCTTTTTGAGGTATCTACGCCATCAGGGAGGTGCCCCAGCCTATAGTCATCATTTTTGTCGAGCCCGCATCGCCGGCGGAGCCCGGCTCGCTTCCCCTCCTGCTCCCGCTCCCTCCAGCCTCGCCGGAGTTGAGTGACTGAGGCGACCGCGGAGGATGCCGAGCCAAGAAAAAGAAAGGGAACCGACGGGGGAGGGGGAGGGAGGCTGAGGGAAGGAAGGAGAGACCCATTGAATAACCCCCTCCCCTTTTCCCGGACCATGTGACCGCCCTGCTTTTCCCCCACCCCCACCCCTTTTCCTTAACAGGAGGGGCAGGGAAGAAAGTTTATCAAAAGAACCAAATCCCGAAGAGGCGGGAGAAGGGGGCCCTCCTCCCATTTCTCCCTCCCTCCCACCTTCCGACCAGACCGCCAGGCTGCCACGCGAGGACAGACGGAGCTCAGATCCTGCACTTCAGAAGGGCTGACCTCTCCAAAAGTCTCCACCTTTTGACGTGGCTCTGCGACTCTTCCGTCGCGGCAGCCTCAACCCCACCCCCTTCCACCCCCCCAAAAAAAACCAGTCTGAGTTATTTGGGCACTCGTGCCGCGCAGGGCGGCGCGAGGGCCGCAGAGCGCCCAGCTCTTCTTTGGGGACCTTCATTTGGTCTCGTTGGGGGGGGGGTGTCACGCTTTCTACCTCACACTCGCTCGCTCTCTTCCTCCTCCCACCCTGCCTCGGAAGGCGAAGAACGTGAGAGCTCGCCACTCTTGAGCCTTTCTCTTCGAGGGGCGCTTTCCTCAGAACCAAGTAAAAGGGAGCAGTGCGTGGCCGCGGCGGTGATTGTCGAGCCCTTCTCTCAGAACAGGCAACGAGGCGCTAAGCTGGAAGCGTGGCGGCCGCCGTGGTTAATCATGGGTGGTTCCCGCTCCCACATAACTTTATTCATTCATTCATTCATTTGGACGACAGGTACATTTGGCTTCAGGGAATATATGAGCTGGGCGCAGGCAGACGTGAACACAGGCAATGCACGTTGTTGTTCCCCGGCGTAAGGATTCCAGGAGCCCCCCCCCCAACAGAGTCCTGTGTAAACGAGGTATGGAAGCACTCACTTTCCCGCCAAGTGGAGGGCTCAGAGCTGCAGCCTGGGCTTGTCGTCGTCGTCGTCCCCCTGCCGCTGCCCAGTCCCAGGCCAGGCACCAGCTGTCTGGGGATCGGGCCGGGCCGCTGGGAATCTTCTCCCAGCCTAACCCACGCATCACACACTTCGTCGTCTCTTTAATACAGACAAAATGCTTTTTTTTTGGCTTCCCAGCATCGCGAATAGACCAAACCCGCCGGTGCTATATACTTGAGACGACCCGAAAGAGACGAAGGGACGTGCCCTTCGTCAAGGATTAGGACGAAGCCTGTTGGAGGAGAGGGCGGGGAGGGAGGCGGCTCTATTGCAGATCCATAGCCCTCCCAGATATGTAGGGATTCGCGATCGGCCGCAGGTTCCGATACTAGAAGAGGAATTCTTCTTTCTTCGTTGACGCGTTTATTTCATGGTCAGCGCCCCTTTATGGAAAGGGGGGTGGCCGCTGTACCTCTATCCCTGCATCTGGGCGATGCCTTTTGTTCCCACTCGCCACGTACCAAGAGGCTGTGGCTCTCCTCCTGCCCCTAATTCTTTCACATGGTTAAGGGACATCGGATGCGTTTCTCCAGGGAGGCGCGGGAAGGGGGAAGCCAACGGGGCAGGTTGAGTTTGATGGGAAACATAGCTCTCTCAGGGCATCATCTGGCGAGCAAGGCCGCTAACCACGCCTTCTTCTCCTCCCCCTTCCATTGCAGAGGTCAGCTTAGATCGTCGAACTAACTTGGGGTTAAATGCCAGGCTTCTGCCTGTTCAGGTTGCTTTTGGCAGCACGTGAAACAGCAGCTTCCTGGACGGCAGAGAAGGTAAAAGGATGCTATTGCGGGAAGGCGAAAGAAAGGAGGAAGGGGGCTCCTTGATGACCGTTGTTGACGATGGTTCGGGCAGGGCACTGGAGAGTCTTCTCCACACCCTTGGAAAGCGGATTTGTGGGCTTCCAAGAGAAAACATCCAAAAGGTCTCCGCATTTTTCTTCCAGGACCAGCAATCGGTTGTTAAAAAACGATGTTAACAAAGGAGCGCGAGAGGAAAGATGCCTTGCCCTGCCCTCGATCCCACCCTCCCCTTGTGAGTACTGGGAAAACTAGAAGAGATGCGCAAAGCGCCCAGTTCCAGCCATGCCTCAGACGCAAGCTCTTCTCTATTTCTCCTTCGCCCTCTCATCTGCAATGGGAGATAATAATACAGGTCTTTTGTCAGGAGTACAACTAGATAATGCAGGTGACGCTCTCTGAATACTTGAAAGCGCGCTACAGACGTTTGCAGAACTCTCTTGGTTTTCCAGTGGAAAGTAACTCCATCGTTTTTGTGGGTGTTTTTTTTAAAAAGCAGGATGAAGTACTAATTTTTATGTGTGGGGAAAGGTCACGTCCCTCTCCCAGAGCGTTTCCCGCGCCCCCGAACTCAGCTCGGCTCCTCCTCAAGCTGCCCGAACCAGTGTTCGAAGGGGAGCCCCTTCTACTCACGCGCGGAAGAGCTTGGGCACGCGCTGCTTTGCATCCGAATAGAAAGAGCTTTAGAGGGACTAGGGCTGCGCTCACTCGTGTACGGCCAAAAAAGAGCCATAAATGTAAGGAGATTCGTGCTTGTAGTGTGCTGTCTGCTCCGAAGTTCGTGTCTAACCGCTGACGCAACGGCAGCGGGGTCTGGAGCAAGACTCGTGTCTTACGTCCGTGCGACAAAACCTCCCTCTCATCTTGAATTGTGGTATGGGGGGGAGGGGGAAACCGCGCTGCAGCCTCTGCGCTACACGTCAATTCCACCCGTGTGAACCCAAAGGAATGCGGGCAAGGAAATAGATGGATGTATGGGAAGGAACGGCAGAGGCACTGCAAGTCAACCGTGGCGCAATTCGGCAGTCTTGTCCGTCCGTCCCCCCACTTTTTAAAAAAGAGAGCAGTCGCTTGTTATAAAGCAAGTGGCTCCCAACCTAGGGCCTCCAGATGTTCTTGGGCTAAAACTCCCCAAAGCCTTTACCACCAGCTGTTAGTCCAAGAACATCTGGGGACCAAAGGGGCCGTTGCAATAAAGTGTAGGGAGCTGAACAACTTGCATGGGGAGGGGGGTCTCATGCCCAGGCCGCCTGACAACGTGAGCCACATGGGCGCCCCGGGAAGAGACAAGGCCGCCTCGGATGCATTGGCGGGAAAAGAGAGAGACGAGGCGGAGCGGCGTGAGTTTTAGGGCCAAGCTCGAGACCGTCGTCCCTTGTTTGCATCGGGCTGGGTCACGGCAGGGCTGGCCGGGTCTGGGCATTCCCTTGTGGCGAGGTGGCCCTCCCTCAGGGGGCGGGAAAGGAGCGCGCCCGGTCCTTCCTTTCGCCCGTGCCCTTTCGTGGCAACCGCCGCGCTTTATTTAATGCACGAGGTGACAGCGAGAGCTTCGCGTGTTGCCCCTGTGGAGTCGTCTCGCCGGACAGGGCGGCCTGTGGCCAGTTTGGCCTCCTCTGGCCAGAGATACGAGCCAGTGAGCCTTCTGCCCGGAGGCAAAGGGAAAACGGGAGGGGGGAGGGTGAGGAGGCGGGGATTTTTACACCTGAAGGCTCTAGGGCAGTCGGACCGGGTTGATCTTTCTCCCCTGGCGGCAAGGAAAACCGTGCTTTTTATCCCCCCAGGTAAGGAGGGCAGAGATACCGAAGTGGGCCGTGGCCTTTGAGGATCGCCCGGGATCGGGGAAAGCGCCATGGGAGGCGTTTTCAGGGGTCTTGACACAAGTTCGCTTAAAAAACAAAACACAATTGCCTCAGAAATATAAAGGGCAGTTATAGAAATATAGATATAAAGGCCTTTAAAATACAAAGCAAAGGTCAGTCATACTTCATGATTGCCCAGGCCATCACCTTGCTTTTCACCGTGCCTCCTGAATCTTTGTGGACTTCCATTTAGTTGTTAACAGTACTTCATCTCATATGCGATAGTGTGTCTAACGCTGTTCTATTGCAATTGTATATACTCTTCTCCCCCAGTTTCCTTTCCCCCTTCTTTAAAAAGATCTCTTTTTTGCTCTTCATTATTCACCATCTTGCCTTAAAAGAGAAAGCAGGCGCTTGGTGATGCTTGAGGTGAAGCTTAAATTACTTTTAGTTGCCATGTAGCAAATTCATTTGACTGATTTTGCATCCTATCTGCACACTTATTAATCGTGGAACATTGAAAGCTGCTTGGTTTGGGGAAGAAAATGGCTGGAGAATTATCACCCTTACCTTTCCTGCTAGTGGTTCTTTGTAAAGAAGCGTTGTTCGATTTATTTTCTGACACCTTTGTGTATTTTACACAAACCAGAAAGATCATGCTTACAAATTTATTACAAGATAGTTTTTCAGTATCAAAACCAACCCATTCTCATAGTTGAAGACCTGTATATCTCATTGTTTTGATATTCAGATGTGATATGACTTTTATTCAGAAACAAAATCAAAAAGAAATTTTATAGAAGTTGGAGACAATGAAATTTCAGCCTGATTGCATCATTTAACATGAAATGCACAAAAGTATCAACAGGGTAACACTGATAGTACAACATCATACTAGGCGGCGGGGGGGGGGGATGAACACGTATATGCTACAAACACAGTAAAGGGGCTAGAAGTATCCCAAATATATCTACCTTACAGATTGCTGTACAAAAGTTGTTATAAATAATCCACTTCTAAAAAAAATAAGCTCCACCTTTGAAATAGACTTCTTCCTTAGATATAAACAGTCTTTGTAGGAAAAAAAAAGAAGAAACCCAAAATTTTGTTTGCTAGCACCAATCTTTTTCTTGTTAAAATGTTTTAAAGTGTACATTACAAATCTAAGTTGCATTTTTACACCATGATCCCCTGATTAACATAGTTTAACAAAAAGGTTAGGTCAAAGTTGATTTTCATCTGACCTTTTGAAGGTCAAATATTCATAACAGACGGCTACAAATAAAAAGGAAGCAAAGTATCACTTGGAAGTTTTTGACCAAGTAACACTGACAGAAATACAGTATGTGAGCTCAAACAAAATCTTGGTTTTAAAATTGCACTATTATATATATATTTTATAAAATGTATGTTGTACAATGTGGTCCAAGCAGTTTCATCATAATTTGGCAAGCTCAAATTTGCATTAAAGCAGTGTTTCTACATACAGTTTTGAGACTAGAATATTTATAAATCTTTAATTTACAAAATAAATTTACTGAGTTTGTTAATATTAACATCAGTGTTATAGTTAGTAAACTGCCATGTCAGGCGCATGGCACCAATTAGTAATTATTGCTGTCATGTTTTTCTACAAATATAATTTTCTTTCCTGTTCCCCCCAAAGAACATTTTTTACAACTTCTGTACAGATACTTGTAAAAGTGCAAAAGTAAGACTCCTTTTCAGTAACAACTATGTTGGTGTTTAACTTTCAGTCTTTTTATTACAATGCAGTCTCCTCCCTCTTTATTGCTCTACATGAATATATCTGCATATAGTATCATACTGTGAGTCTTAGCCACTTGTCTTCAGCTTCATTTTGTTGTGTATTTAGTTTTCCTCTTCCAAACATCACTTAGTGTCCATCACTACAGATTGTACTTATATATCGTTTGAGCCTTGGCTTGCACAGGACGAGAAGCTGTCATACAAAGAATCACTCAATGATTCCAAGTGGTCTACACCATGCCTATTGGAACTAGTTAGAGAAACTTCTTCAGTCTTCTCATTTTCTTCTTCCTGCCCTCCAACCTTATCCAGAACATTCCTCTCTTCCAATAAAATGTTTCTGCTGCTGTTAAACTTGTTGAGGGACTCCAGGGAAAGTTTAGATAACCTCTTCTTAGAATCATCCTTTGTTTCCTCAGGTTGCTTCAATTTCTGTAACAATTTAAGAGAAGGGGATGGAAATTAGAAACACAAGTCTGTATGAAAACAAAAATAGTTATTCAAACTGTAAATACTCAATTACTGCCTGATCAATGGTCACAGTAGAAAAAGGAAGAGATAGTTAAATACTTTGAGGCTTAATCCCCCATTAAAATTAAATGCAATAATAGAGTCCATTTTGAGATAAATCATAGCTTTAATGATTTTGCTCAGACAAATAGGACTCAATCTGCAAAAAAGATAAGTGCCATTTACATTTTAAGCAGCTGATTTTAGAATTTGTATGTGCAGTATCTCCAGCATTGCCAGAGTAATTTACATTTTCCATTCTTATTCAGGAATTATTATTTAAGAACAGCTAGATGTACATCAAAGAACTTAACTCTATTTATCTTATTTGGATTCTGCTACACTCTATCCGGAGAGCCCAACTGACTGAAATCACAGTGATACAATTCAGGATACTGTACAATTCAGAAGAAGATAGGTATTGTTTAGGCTTGAAAATTTACTGACATTTATGCATACAGATAAAAATTCACTGATTTCAATGAACTGAATTCTGATTTAGGTGCATGCAGCTGGGCTGGGTTGGCTATGGGTTCTGTTCACTGAAAGTGACCTCACTTGATTGTCAGGAATCTCTCTTTCCCCATGGCACCACAACCTAACCCAAACATTTTTAGGAGGCAGGGCAGAGGTGTACGGCTGTAAGGAGAGGTTTTGGTAGAATATGTATTTAATCCAAAGATTATTACAAGGATCTAACATCCCATGTTTTAAGTATGTGTTATGTATTGGCATAACTTGATTTTCAGCACCATATTTTTCCTATATTTCCCATACCTTACTGTAAGCTATAGAAGGCTAGTTGAAGACAGAAACAAAATGATAAAGCAACTGCTGTTATGCATGCCATCAAATTGCTTCCTGCTCAAAGAATTAATGATCTTCAAAATTTCCCATAATTATCAGTCCTGCTCAGGTCTTATAATCTAAAGGCTGTGACTTCCTTTATAGATTTAACCCATCTCATTTTAGGAATTCATCTTCTCCTTTTATCTTCCATGTTTCTTAGCATTATTATGTTTTTCAGTGAGTTTGGAAAGGATGGGTTTCTGAAGAACATAGCCAAGATCAGCTGTATTATGATATTCCAGTTACCATGTATAGGTGTGAAAGGAGAACAGTGAAGAAAGCTCACAAGCACAATTTGATTCATTTGAAATAAGATGTTGGATGAGATATTTATGGATACCTTGAGAAGCCAGAAAGACAAATCAGTAGGTGCTAGACCAAATCACACCTGAATGCTCATTGGATGCTAAAACGACTAGACTAAGACTATTGTACTGTACTTCAGACATTTCATAAGAAGACAAGACACTGGAAAACACAGTCTTCGTTGTCTACATTAATTTTGTATAATTCATCCGTAATCCTAATTTTTGTAATGTTCACCTGCAATCTCTGCACTTTCTTCATTAACCTTCCTCAATGGTGACTTCAACTTATTACTATTTTCTGCCAATTTTATTGCAGTAGCCAACATGTATTTACAGCACAACATCTGGCATTTCTCACTGCATAAACGGTAAAAGCCTTTACTGTAACATTTCTCAAGCTTGCATGAAAAATTGGGGCAATGGCCCTGCAATCTCTGGTGCTTCTTTTGTTTCAAATTGGAATATATAGGAAGAACATTTCTAGTCCACAGACCATTGTTTTGATTTCCCTATTTGTTAACCTATTCTTCTTAGGGCTTTGATATATTCATTCTCTGCTTGGAAGAGGTCTGTTGGTATCCCATTTCAGTCCGCATACACCAAGCATTCCTCATTTCACATTTCAAGTTTTCCTTGATCCATACTCCTCACACGTCACATTCCAACTCTATGTATTATACAGCATCACACTTTTCTTTGTGTTTCCTTGTGCAGCAACAGCTAGACTTCCTTTAAGCTTTAATCCAGTTGCTTTTTTAAAAAATTATTTATTTATTTATTTATTTCTAAAGAATGAATAAATAATTAAAAAAAAAAAGCTTTAATCCAGTTGCTTCATTAAAGATAATGTAATTTGTACTTGTCCATTGCTTGTCCCCGCTCATCCTGTCTGAGTACCATTTGACTTGGAAGTCTTATCTTCCAGCCCCATTTCTTATGTTTCATTTTGGATTGCACCATCATAGGGTTTACAAAGTACAAAATATTCAGAAGTGGTTTACTGCTGCTATGCAATACTACCAATAGTTAAGCTTGAGTGTCACTGCCGTTGTCTATAAAAGATTTTCCAGCAGTATCACTTTCCACTACTGGTGCTATGCAGTAGCTGCACTTCAACAATTTCTCTGCCTCCATTATCACTAGAAATAACAGTTCTTTTCTGCTGATGCTACCATTAATTACTAAAGAGGATGGATGGATGTTACACTGGTGTTTCAGCTTTGACCATTCCGCCCTGCATGAGAGCAATGCTATCATGATGCTAGACTCATAATAGAGTCTAGCATCCTGATAGTACTGCATTTAGTTTCCCTGTCACTCTTATAACCCTTCTCATTAAGGGTTTCTCTGCCTCTAAGAGGCAGAGAAACAAATATTAGTATACCAAATTGTTTACACTTTGAATGGAGTGGCATATATCTAACTATTCTCAGTGGAAAAGCTAGGACTTTTGCTATCCATTTAATGTCTAGATCATTGTACTGTTTTAATGGGTTGTTCGTTTAAAATCTAGAAGATAGGCAGGGAAAGGATCTTATATATATTGCCTGTATGGCTTTTTCTAAAAGATTCTTTATAATGCAAACATTAATGAAATCTCCTAAAAAATAACCTTGCATGTTGCATGTGTAAGCCTGTTGAACTTAAATTCTCCCTAATAGAAATGAAAGCAAGGAAAGAGGAAATTACACTGGGGTCCAATCCCCTCAGACCAAAATCAATCAGATCTTTGCTAACTGTAGTTGGAGAAGTGTTGCAATTTGAGGAAACAATATAAAATGAAACACTGGACATTATATTATATCAGCACATTATATTAAAAAGGCATCACTGGACTATGCAATATCCATTTTATCTCTTCGAAGAAAATTTCTTATCAGTTTCTAAGAGAAGAATTCCATTTTTAAAAAAGTATCTTTTTTTTCTCAGGGCTTTTTTAAAAAAAATCTCATGCTTCCATCTCTTGTTTCAGGTAATATCATTAAAGAAATGTGTGATAACATTGAACATATCAGGAGCTTTACAGATATACAAGGTTCTGCAGCATCCATTGTTAAATGAGGTGTGCTGCTCATATAAAGGCATACTCATTCCTCATTTTCAGTATTAGTGCCAGGCAGAAATGAATGGATCAATAAACTATTGGCAGCCCAAGAACAAACAGTTACTTTGTGTTTCAATGGTAAGTGAAATGGCTGGTTTAGGATCATCCAGGAAGAATATAGGCAATATAATACACAGCATACCAAAGGGTGGGTGGGGGAAGGAAGATTGTAACAAAGGAACACTTTGAAGATTAGCTCTGATGGGTTTTAAGTTCTGTTTAGATCCATTAATAAACATGGGCTCAAGCTCTCATTCAGTAATTCTTTTCAAAAAAAGCACAATGCTCTCCTTATATTTCAAGTCCAGTTCACAGGCAGCTGAGCTTTATTAGCTAGTTTAAAGTGGTTTAACTCCCATTAAATGAAATAATAATACTTCAAAATATATTTTTGGTGGTAAAACTAGCTAATGTGTTGGATTTGTATTTACTACTGGATTACACTGCTGCTATTGTTTACCTCTTTTGTCTCTACACAGACTATCGAGTCTATATATATCTATTCCATTATGACCCTGAGATAAGCCAGCTGAAATTCAAGTCCTAGATACAGTATATTGACTGAAACCACCCAGCACTGAATATATCACAGATTAAACTCCTTTAAAATCAGCAGGCCTCCAGGTTCAAGCCTGACCACTAAGAGCATGTGTATGAGTGAAAACATTTTAGTGGACAAAGTGAATATTTGATGAACATTTGCTTCCAGTTGTTTGCAATGAAGCATCTCTATGATTATTAGGATCATGTCCAATGACATCAGAGTCAGTGTATTCTAGTTTGATTAGTACACTAATCAAAGAAAAACATACTAATCACCATAAAACCAGCTACTCTCTCTCCCTCCCTCCCCCTCTGGAAAGGTCCCAAGTTAGGGAACAAGCTACATATTGACATAGTGGAGATCACAGCTGTGGTGCCCAGTGTGATGCAGTGGATACAGAAATGGGCTAAGATTCTGGAGACCAGAGACTGAATCCCCAGCCAGCCATGGAAATTCACCAGGGGGAATAGAACTGGTAAAATCATTCCTTAAATATCTTCACTTATCTTGAAAGCCCTATTAATGTTACTTAAGTCAGCTTAAATCAGTTTTGACTTAACGACACATAACTAACTAGATCAGAGAGATATCACAATTAATAGTTAATGTGTTAAGAGAACTACTACAGGTAATGATCACTTAGTTGAATTCTATACATGCTTCAATTTAAAACACCTGGCTGAGTGCCATTTAAACTAGTAATTTTACAATTCTGTACATGGCTAGTAAGAATTAATTTCCACTGAGGTTATTGAGAGCGACTCACAGGTTAGTATACAGTAGATAACTACAGAGTTTAACAGTGCTATGAAGGTTGAGGCAGAGCAGGGCTTGTTGTAATACCACTCTGTGCCTTATCAGACTTCTACTATCGAAAGTTAGATATGTCTCTTATGTAAGAGCAATTTAAAAAACTGCCTCAGAGGTTGATTGTTAAAAAAAGTTCTCACCCATTGTTTCTAGTGGAAGATAAAATAGACAAGCCAGGCCCAAGGCTGTCACACTTATTCTGCACCCCACATTCTGGAGCATCACCTAGGACAGATTCCTGATTCACATACAGAAGTTGATCCTTTTATCCTTACTACCCTGATTACAGAACCAGCTGTGATTGTGA